GGAGCAGAGATGAGGCGCGGCTTCGGACAGGAAAGCAAGCTCGTACTACCGGTCCTCCAGGACGTTAGTACCAAGGGCAGGTGCACCCCTGATAGACAGAAGACGGGCACGGTCAGAGACCAGAGCGGTGGCGCATTCAAGGCGGTGGGTAGAGGCAAGGTCAGCGATAGCAGCGACAAGCGCGTCAAGACTCGAGACAGGAACAGACGGGTCGGTAACAAGGGAGGCAAGGATCTGAGGAACAAGAGGACACGTGCCTGCACATCCCTTCGTTCTCCTGGAACCTAGTTGGTGTCGGCTGTCTTCAGGACCTCAACGTCACCACTACGTTCCCCGGACACGAGCAGTACGCTGTCTATACCGAGGCCGCCACTGGTGCTCCTCTAACCACCTTCCCCCGGGACCCTGTGTCTAGCCTGTTTACGCTTGACACTGCGTCCCCCCCGGTGAGGGCGTCCCCCCAGGTGCCTGCATAAATTGAGGTCGCTGCGGCTTGCTCGTGTCGGTCGCTCACTCACCCATCGCTACTGTGGCACCACCGCCTAGGTCACCCCGCAATCCCGCGTCTGCGTCACATGTCCAATGGAGGTCTTGTCTTTGGTCTCCCCGCGTCACTCCTTGCCCTCCCTCCCTTGCCTGCCCCGCCGTGCACACCCTGCATCGAGGGCCGGCTGCGCCGTGCTCCTCATGCCTCCTCGCTTCCCCCTACCACTGCTCCACTCCAGACCGTGCACCTGGACGTCTGGGGCCCAGCCCCCGTCCCTGGGCCGCGTCGAGAGGGCTACTTTCTAGTGCTTGTCGACGACTACACGCGCTACACCATGGTGTTTCCACTGGAGTGGAAGGCCGATGTGCCTCACGTTCTTATCCCGTGGGTTGTAGCTGTATGAGTCCACCATGGCCTCACTGTGCTGCGTCTCCACTTCGACCATGGCAGCGAGTTCACATCCGGTTGGCTTGGCCAGTTCAGTCGTGCTGAGGGCATCACCGAGTCGTACACCCTGCCAGACTCCCCGCAGCAGAATGGGGTCACAGAGCGACGCATCGGTTTGGTCATGGAGGTAGCTCGTACCTCCATGATTCATGCCGGTGCACCCCATTTTCTGTGGACGTTCGCTGTTCGCTACGCCGCTCACCAGCTTAACCTGTGGCCACAATCCTAATGGTCGCAGGTTTTGCCGACCCTTCTCTGGACCGGGTTCCCTGGTGACGCGTCTGCATTCCACATCTCGGGCTGCCTAGCTCACGTTCGTGCCTCTAGCACGGACAAGCTCACTACCCGCACTATCCCCTTTTCTTCCTTGGTTTCCCCCTCAAAGCGTCTGGCACTTTTACCATTCGCCGTTTCACCGCTTCTTTCACTCTCGTGACGTCACTTTTGACGAGTTTGTCTCCGTCTACCACCGTTTTCCCCACCGAGGTCTCCCACGCCCTTGTTTCTGGTTCCCACTTCCCTGGTAGCCCGTGCTCCTCTCCCTCTCCGTCCTGCCGCGTCTGGTGTGTCTCACGTCACTCCCCTCCCATCGGTTGTCCCAGTCGAGGAGTCGGCTGACTCTGGTGGCCCCGCAGTGCCGTTCTCGCCGCCTGTCTCCGCCCCGGTGTCTCCTCCTCCGCCGTCGCAGCAGCTGCCACCGTCATAGCCGCAGTAGCAATCGCCGTCGCCGCTACCGCAGCAGCAGCTGCTGCAGGGGTCCGCGAGCTCTAGGGGTGCAGGCGTTGAGGGGGGTGCTTGTCCTGGCGTTCCTATCTTGGCTTGTGCCAATGGTCCTGGGGGTGGCACCGGTGCTGGAGAGGGTTCTCGTTCAGGGGCTGCTGGTTCTCGGGGTGCTAGACCTGGAGTTCCTGTCGTGGCTTGTTTCGGCAATTTTGGGGGTGGCCCTAGTATTGGAGAGGGTTCTCGCTCTGGGGGTGTTGGCGTGGAGTGTCGTGGAGGTAGCCGTGGTGCAGCTGGAGGGTTTGGTGTCGGCGTGGAGAAGCAGCAGAAGCAGTAGTCGCCGCCGGTGCCCGCGTTTTGCCTCCTCAGTCTTCCCTTCCCTGACCACCCATGTGCGCCTCCCACGCCGCCGCCTCCCCTGCCTGTCTAGGGCCCTGTCTTTCTGCTGCAGGACTCGTCTCCGGCTCATTTCTCCCCTCGTTCTCCTCCCGTGTCTCGTCCTGTCTCTCCTGTTCAGCGCTTTCACCCTATGTTGCTCCGTTCCGACGCGTCTCCTCTTGCCCTCCTGCCGTCGCCTCCTCCGTCCTCGCTTGTTGTCGCTCCGCCTCCTATGTCTGACTACCTTCGTGCTGTTAGTCCTTTTGTTCCCCAAGTCCTTGCTTCCCTCGTTACTTACCCGTCTTTTCCTGTCTCGATTCTTGACGCTCTTGTCGGTGATGTCGCTAACTTTGCCTTTACCCGCCGCCTTGACTACACCACCACTCTCGTCTCTGACCCTGCCCGTCCTCCGTCCGTCAGGGGTGCTCCTGCCCTCGGCAGTGACGTTTTGGAGGACCGGCAGTACGAGCTCGCTTTCCTGTCCGAGGCCGCTCCTCATCTCTGCTCCATGCTGCTAGTCCCTGAAGGTGACCCAGACGCCTTTGACATCCCGACCCCTCGCGCTTACGTTGAGGCGACGTCGGGACCCTAGGCCTCTCAATGGATAGCTGCGTTGGACTTGGAGATGGCATCTTGGAGATCCACCGGCACCTACATCGACGCAGTTCCCCCACCTGGGGTGAACGTAGTCAATGGCCGGTGGCTCTTCAAGGTGAAGCGCCCCCCTGGAGAGCCACCTATATTCAAGGCGCGCTACGTAGCTAGAGGCTTCAATCAGCGTAGGCGGTGGACTTCTTTCAGACCTTCGCCCCGACCCTGAAGATGACCACTCTTCAGGCGCTGCTTCACCTAGCAGCTCAGCGCGACTACGAGCTGCACTCTCTTGACTTCTCCTCAGTGTTTTTCCAGGGCAGTCTGCATGAGCAGGTCTACCTGCGCCGTCCGTCAGGGTTCACCTGCACCTTCGCCCCTGGGATCGAGTGGCTCCTCCGGCGCCCGGTTTACAGCCTGTGGCAGGCGCCCTGTGAGTAACACGACACGCTACGTGCTACGTTAGCTGACTTGCAGTTCTTCCTGCCATCTGCAGACCCTTCACTCTTCGTCCGTTCAGGACGGACCCCGTTCTACATCCGTGTCTACGTAGACGACCAGGTCTTCGCTACTGCAGACAGAGACGCACTGGCCTCGGTGAAGGCTAAGCTGCTGAGGAGACACACCTGCACTGACCTGGGAGAGTTGCGCCACTACCTTGGGCTGCAGATCTCCAGGGACAGAGCAGCGCGCACCATCCCTCTGATACAGTCACACTTGGTGCTCCAAGTCCTTCAGAGGTTTGGTCTTCAGTTCTCCTTCGTACAGCCCACACCTCTGCCAATAGATCACAGGCTCTCGGCTCCAGTCCTTGGGGAGTCGGTAGAGCCTAGTGGTCCGTACGAAGAGCTTGTGGGTTGCCTCATGTACCTGATGACTTTCACTCGTCCAGATCTTGCATACCCTCTCAACATCCTGGCTCACTTTGTGGCGACAGGCAGACACCGACCACAACACAGGTCGGCAACTAAGAGGGTTTTGCGTTATCTAGCAAGTAAATCAGGCATGGGGCTAGTGCTAGGAGGACGCAGGCTAGTGGTCCTGACAAGGCACACTGACGCTTCGAAGGCCGACGACGCTGAGATGCTCAGGTCCTCTCAGGGCTACTGCTTTAGCCTTGGTGCAGGTGCTGTCTCGTGGTGGTCCACCCGCTCGTTGTCTGTTGCACAGTCTAGCTGCGAGGCTGAGATCTACGCTGGTGCCATGGCGACACAGGAGCTCCGCTGGTTGAAGTTCCTGTTCACTGACTTGGGTGAGCGACCTAGCTCTGCCCTGGTCCTGTACGCTGACAGCAGGGCCATGATCCTCCTGTGTCAGGAGCCTCGACTCAAGGGCAGAGCGAAGCACATCCAGCTGCGGTACTTCCTCCTGCGCGAGCTGCAGCAGCGACGCCAGGCCCGCGTAGTTCACTTGGCCTCTGGTTCCAACACAGCTGATATCTGTACTAAGGCGCTTGCGCCTAAAGATGATCAGCGGCACTGTGTATAGCTTGGTCTAGTTCCAGTAGCTCCTCACTTGCTAGGACCTTGATTGTGTACTTCTCTTATTATATTCTCCTGACTGGCCTTGTGGCTTTTGCTCCAGTGGCCGGACTAGTAGTGCCGCCCTGGTTTGCTCTTGTCTTGTTTGTACTCTTCTGATTGGTCTTCAGACCCTTGCCTCAGAGGTTGGACTAGTAGTGCCACCCTGAGCTGCGTGTCTCTTACCAGGCACCACCCCTTGTCTAGCCTAGGGGGTGTGTTAACATATATTTGTATATGTTTTAGGCTACATAGGTGCATGCTTATAGAGGGTACAACACCATAGCACAAAACCTCCCTGTATGTCACACGCTAGTTCATTGTGTTATTCTGACACGCCCTTCCCTGCGCTCGACTCTGTCTTTTTTTTCTGGTTGTCTAGTGTTGCCAACCCAAATCCTTCTCTTTCACCCAACCTCCCTTTCGCCCATAGTTTCACCTGCCCCTCGCAAAGTTTGTGAGCCGCACCAAGAACCAAAGACTTGGTCGTTGTTGGACCATGTGCTTGAATTGCACTGTATCTTCGGTATAATGTAATTTCCATAAAAACAATAATGAGTAGTTGCATATTGAATGGTGTTTGCATTAAGCTAATAATGCTATATATCGAGAATAAAACAGAAAGGATTATTGCATAAGCCATTCTCATGCACACATTTGAAATGTGACGTACAGTACATGAAAAACGTTTCAAAATCGTACATGATATCTCCGCAACCATTAGACGATGTAGTCGACCCTTGTTTTTTTTTTAACACCTTGCTGTACCCCAAGTGAAGTCTTTTATGGTGTTGTGTTCAATTGCATGTGCAAGGTATGAGCATGACTCTGCTGTGTGGGCGCTAGTGAGTGATACTTGTGCAAGCATAACAAAACAACAAATGATTACAGTGTATAGAACCAGACACGTGTCTTAATCATGGTATACATGCCCCTACCTACCCAGATTAACGCCCCATGAACTCAATTAATCGGTTAGGAAAACCTGGTACTCCTCCACTGAGCAGTTCCCCACACGGGCCCTAGAAGCATCAGGGGTGCAGACGGTGGTCCCAGCGGGCATCTTCTCCAAGCACTCAAACCCGTTCAACTTCCTGTAGCAGCCCTTGATGCTGGCAAACCCCATCACATCAATCATGGCACAGCTGTCCCCAGCTGCCACGGTGTATGTGCCGCCCCCCGGGCATGTGCCGAACCTGTAGCTCGTGCTGCTGCCAATGCACACCTACAGCAGGACACCAAGGATTGTAGACAAATGACAAGCCGCTCGAGCTGGCAATGAGGGAGATGACTGTGTGGTCAAACCCGGGACCACTGAGCACTGCTTACCTTGCGCTGTGAGTAGCCCTCTATTGAATCAGTCGGCAGGCGGGTGTTGCAGTTGATGCCGGGGTTGAGGCGGTGGAACTCCAAGGGGCTCAGAGGTGGATCCACGGCCATCCTTGCAGCATCGCAGCCGCCACTGCCCTGCACCTCGTACTGCTGCTCACACACTGCCACCACCCCCGCCTTGCTCTCCTCCCGCTCCACACACACGGCCTGGCTGCCCGTGAGCGCTGCACAGTCCACCCCAGGGTTGAGCCCCACCACTGCCTCCCCGCATGCCTCGCCCTCCACGGGGCAACCCTTGGTCAGGTTAAAGAGCGCTGCCACAGATGCACAGCTGTCGCCCTGCACACAGCACAGGGTATTGCCATGAGTCGATTGACCATATCTAATGTCTCGCACTCAACCTGGAAACAGCTGAAGCATTGGTCGAGAAGCAGTGCCCATGCAAGGAGCAGCACAGTGAGAGGTTGCGTGCTATTCAGGTGGGGTTGAGCGCACTCACAGGTTGGGTGGTGTAGAAAAGAGAGCAGTTGGGAAGTGATTGAGGCAGCTTGACAGTGAGCTTGAAGCCCACTGGGATGGGCTTGGAGCAGGAGAGCTTCTGCAGGCACGAGGGAGGAATGGGCGCTGATGAATTCACACGAGATAAAAAACAGAAGACTGTTGGCCACAAGAATGGAGATGCGTGCTGACCTTGTTCTGCTGCTTGAGTTGGTCCAGTGGGAGGCCAAGCACAGGCAGCAAGTGCGAGCACCACACATTGCTGCCACGCACCGTGTAGCTACCCTTGCTTTCACCTGCAGGCCTCACCACAGGACAACACATCAGTACAGCATGCGTTAGCTTCACGACATTATTCAACACACACAGGCTCCTCCTATCTTCCACTACGCATTGTGGCCTCGTGGTGCCACCTCCACTATGCCACCTAGTCAGCTGCTCATTCTCCAGCTCAAATGATGGTCATTCACAGAGAGAGAAGACAACATTTATATTTCGAGCAAAAAATCAGATGCCCAGAGAGGGAGGCAAGGCAGTGTGTATACCAGGAGCACAGGAGAGGGTTCCCTTGGCGGTAGTGCCTTGAATGAACCCCGGGGGGCACACACAGGAGTAGCTGCCCTTGCCATCGTTCACACACGTGCCCACCACACATGGGTTGCTGCCTGCCAGCCCACACGCGTCCACTGGCAGGGGTAGGCATGGGCGAGAGGGGTAAAGGGGGCGTTAGCGGGAGGGGCGAAAGGGTAGAGGTGTGGGAGGAGAAAGGGGGCGTTAGCGGGAAGGCATAAACATAGGCGATTGGGCAAAGAGAAACATCACAAGAGGGCGAGAGTGTGAGGGACGGATGGGATGGGCTCACCGTAGGCGCATGTGTTGGAGCCGTCAGCGTGGGCGGCCTGGACGAAGTGGGGAGCAGCACAGGCACAGCGGTTGGATGCTCCGGCCTTGGAGCACTTGAACTGCCCACACGGGTTGAACGCATTGCTTGCTGCCACTCCCGGTGATGCTGCCAGCTGCACGGACTTGCTTCCACACGGGTCAGCAGCAGCTGCCAGGGACAAGCAGTGTGGCAGACACAGGAGCAGCACAGAGGCACACCGTGCACCAAACATACGTGAGGCAAACGGTAGAAACAGGAGCAGGCATGGCGTATGGCAGGGCATAGTGTCAGTGGCAGGGCACATGGCCGCTGGCACTCTGATGCAAACACAAATAGCCAAGGAAGATGCATCCACTCGCATAGCAGCCAGGCAGCAGAAACTGGTGGCTTTTATACGCCAGGGAGGGCTGTACCTCTGAGGATGGGGAAGAGCCCCGGAAGTGTGTTGATGCCGCAGACGCCCGGGCCGCTCTGCATGTCCATGAGCATGTGGCCTGCATCTCCCCACCCACTGCCCCATGAGTTGCGGATGACCCAGAGTGGCGCAGGCAGGCTGAAAGGGCTGGACGCGCTGCCCTCCACAGCATACCCCACCAGCAGCACCGCATGGTTCACCGCCCCCTGGAAGCAGCTGCTGTCCGCGTACTTGGACGTCTGGGTGAGGAGGTGTTGGGATTGAAGGATAAAATTAGGAACTGGATGCAGCAAACGGTTGCCCACAAGCATGAACCCGTGGGATAGACTACACAGATATTCTAAACAAATATAATATTGGCAGCTCGACCCATCCATCCCTGACCCGTGGCCCTTCCCCAGATCACAGCACAGCAACTCACCCCATCGTAGTCGATGAACGATGGTGCGGATGCCTCTATTCTCACAACCACTGGCTGCCGCTGCACTGCTAGCAGCAGCCCCAGCCACCCGCCAAACGAGGTCTCCTCAAAGCCCTGAATCCCGTAGTACTTGGGCTTCTGCAAGGCAGGAAAGGCAGGGGAGGGCGAGGTGACGCAAGATGGCAAGTACAACAAGAAACTGAGATACTAAAGGCCGCATTTAGAAGTTGAGAACTTAGATACGTGGAAGGGGCTGTGGACATGCAAGGGCACCCTGCATGAAGCCAGTTCTTGAGCATCCTTCCCCAAATGTCCACTGGCCGTCTTGCCTCACCTGCAGCCTCTCCCGCCGGCCTGCGGACGCCATGCTGCGCTGACTGGCGCCCGCTGCTGCTGCCTCATCCACGAGCCCCCCTCCCTTGTGTGTGGCAGCCGCCAGGAAGGCCAGCACATCGCGGGGAGACATGTCGTCGCAGTTGGACGAGAGGGCTCCGCGCACATGCTCCACAGACAGCCGGGGGGGCTGCGACCAGCCGCTCGCGATGCTGTAGGCTGCCTCCAACGCTGCCACCACTGCGAACGCTGAGGAGTCAGCTGCAGGCAAGTGAGGGGCGCACACGAAGAGGGGAGGAAGAATGGGCTTATGCGGATGAAGAAGTGGCTTCCTAGCATTCTCTGGTCGGTAAACAACCTGTTGATTTACGACACAGTATTATTGATGGCCTTGCTACTACTGGCTGCTCGGTGCTGCAAGAGAACATGCTGCCTCGGCTGCTGAGGAGCCATGGGCGTGTGGCAGCGTGGACACGGCACACGTATGGACAACACGATACTGAGGTCCATCGCATCCATGCCATACCACATCCATGTTGGCTCTTCACAGGCCATGCTGTCTCGTCCCGCATCCAAGAGACAAAAGGCGGAAGGTTCCAGGAAGGCAGCCCATCCTCATTGGCTTGGAAGGCAAGGCTGGCATAGTGGAAGGAGGAGAGCACACTCTCGCCCTCACTGCCTGCTGCCACCTCCTCTGCTGATGCCACCCGCCCAAATGCACTGCCTGGAGGGTTGCAGGGTGGGTTGAGGGAACGGAGAGAGGAATGGATTGATCATTGATGTATACTGAACGGGCTGGTCAGGAGATGGAGGAGCTTATAAAGAGAATCTCAGAGCAACGTGAAGGAGGAAGAGGCCAGTATTACGCCAGTTGGTGGGGCACTGGGATCGTCCCGCAATTGAGTGTGGAAGGGCTACGGGTCATAATGGAAGCGCTACCCACCACACAAAGATGCCTTTTTAACCCAGTCAGTAGTGGGCGGGGCGAACAACGCCCACCAGGTGTCGTGATTCTTTATGTGATGCGCTTACCAGGGGCCCGATTCTGCCAATTTACTGGAGGTGGCATCCCTGCACACACCCAAACAAACACGCAAACACAGAGTTCAAAATTTTCAGCAGCTGCTGCTCCAAACTATAGGCATTTCTTTGCGTCAACATGCATGCATACATGCACCCCATGCATGTATGCGATCAGCAACTAGAGCCAAGACCAGACGCCTTTACGTGCTCAGACGTGTGTCTCACCTCACCTGTGCTTTGCTCACCTGTGACGATCTTCCACCAGAGAATCTCGTACTTCTGAGCATTGTTGGCAGAGGCAGCCATGAAGCCAAAGAGGAAGGAGGCATCGCCCATGGTGGGCTTGAGCGTGCTGCACAGAGACACTCTCGCCGTCAGCAGAGGCTTTGACGGCTGCTGCCTGGAGGCTGAGAGGAAGACTCGGAGAGTGCCGCCGCTGGTAGGATCGTAGTGGATCCAGGCGTGCTTGGTTTGGGCGTCGTTGAGGATGAGAGGGGCCGTGGCAGAGGCGAGGGACACAGGTGAGCCGCCCACATTGACGCCCACGTGGTTGTCATTGGGGTCGCTGTGCTTCACACTCAGCACCGAGTCAAACTCCACTCCCACACTCCGCCGGCCCACCCCTCTCAGCCCCGCACCCGCTGCTGCCCCCTGTGGTGCCGCCGCACTCACAAAAAACGCCAGGCCTTCGCCTCCGGGCCCAATGCTGTAGCCGTCCGAACCAGCATCCGCAGTATCAGGGGTCATTCTGAAGGCGAAGTAGACGGAGAAGGCAATGGGCTGGTCGCAGGGCGCCTTACGGGTGGTAGGACGGAAGAGAGCGAGGGGCTGCTGTGTGAAGGCTGCTCCCCATGATGCAGTGGATGGCGCAGAGGCGAGGAAGATGGACTTTTCGAAGAGAGAGGAGGTCGAGTTAATGAGGGCCATAGAGTAAATTGAAGAGGAGTAGGTGACTGTACAGGGATGGGAAGGGAAAGAGAGAGGGAGAGAAAAGTAAGTGTGATCTGACGTGTGGAATGGAAGGGATCTTGGAAGGTGGTAAGGAGTAAGGAAAGATGCCGTGCTGCTGCTGACTTACCGAAAGTCTGATTTCCTACTGGCGGTTTCATGCCTGCAGACACATGCACACGCACACACACACACTCTCTCGCGCGCACACACACATACAAACACATGCACGCACACGCAGATATACACACGCACACACACACACACACACACACACACGCACACACACAGGGGCACAATGCTGAACTGGTAAGCCATGGAGAGCAAGTGAGACCTTCGACCAGAGATCTGCGGCCCATGCCTCACAGCTGATCGTCAACAAGCAGGCCAAGTAAGGCTTTAATAACATGGCCATACACTGCAATTGGGAACAGGTACGTCTGCATACCTTGAGGGATGCATGTGCCACCAGCCAGCTCCTGCGTGAACCCTTCATCGCATGTGCAGTGCGCGTCGCTGATGGCACCCACAAACGAGCACACGCCATGCCCGCCGCAAGGTGGGCTCAACGCATCATTCCCACAGAACGACCGGCACTCGCTGGCACTCCGCTGCTCGTTCCCTTGCCCGCACTCGCTGGGAGTGTTTGTCACGCAGTTGAGCTCGGGGGCGCACTGCTGTGAGGAGCCGTTGAGTGGGTCTTGTACGGCTGTGAGGTAGTTGATCCTCGCGTCCACGTTGACGCCCTGGAAGCGCGGCAGGGCTCCCACCAGCTGGTTGTTCTGCACCCAGCTGCGTGCAGAATGGACGGAGCAGGGACGGGAGGGGGGGAGAGTGTGGGGAGGTGGGGACGGGGGGATGGGATGAGAAGGTGGAGAGAAGCAGGCTCACAGTGTGGGAGAGCTGTGAAGTGAAGTGAGCAGTACAGAACTGGCGCGAACGGGAAGAGGAGTGAGGGGAAAGCAGTAGTGTGTGAGAGCCACGTGGGACGGCAGAGGGCAGAAAGGAGACAGAGCAGACAGGTGTGCCTGAACCTGAAGAGTACCAAGCGAGGGGAAACGCGTCGTCGGGAGAGCGCAGCCCGTGGTAAGTGCGTTTTCAGAAACGAAACTGTCCTGCTATTGAAATACTGACAATAATGAGAGTGCTGTGAGTGTGGTGAGGGCGGCAGGTATGATCCCTGCAAGGCGGTTGACAGAGAGGTCCCTGGGGCGGACATGGGCGGATGGCATGGGGAGGAGAGGGCTGGATTGAGGCGTTGGAAGTTGGAAAGGTGCAAATCTGCCAGGGAACGGTGCCTGTTGAGTGACCCTTATCTCTCCCCCCTCCTCCCCTCCCTCCCTTAAACCCATATGCATGCACTCAAAACGTACGCAGGCAGGAAGTAAACTTCCCCAGGCTCAATGCTTGGCATGGCAGAGACAAGGGCAGAGAGAGGGCAGGCGGAGAGAGAGAAGGCAGGGAGAGGGCGGGCGGAGAGAAGGCAGGCGGTGAGAGGGCAGGCGGAGAGGGGGCGCACAGTGAACGGAGTCGAGCAAGGTTGGCTATGGAGGCAGGAATAGTGCCACTCAGGCTGTTGTAGTCCAGATACCTGACATGCGATCACATGGGACGGCATGGGATGGCGTGGGAGGGCGTGGGATGGGATGCATGTGATGGTATTAGAAAGTATGTGTTTTGTCATCTGCAATCAAATCTGTTTGAACTGTATATTTCTCTTGCCTGGAGGGGGGCTGTCATCCGGTATGAGGGAGGGTTACAAGAGCCACACGCGAGTCTACATGGAGCAAAGCAGCGCTGCAGTGGAAGCGATTGCAAGCCAGGCCACCTCTTTGCACAGCTTTCCGCCAGCGCGATTGCTGTGCTGTGCTGTGCTGTGCTATGCTGTGCTGTGCTGTGCTGTGCTGTGCTGTGCTGTGCTGTGCTGTGCTGTGCTGTGCTGTGTTGTGCTGTGCTGTGCTGTGCTGTGCTGTGCTGTGCTGTGTTGTGCTGTGCTGTGCTGTGCTGTGCTGTGCTGTGCTGTGCTGTGGTGTGGTGTGCAGTGCAGTGCAGTGCAGTGCAGTGCAGTGCAGTGCTGTGCTGTGCTGTGCTGTGCTGTGCTGTGCTGTGCTGTGCTTGCACTGCTGTGCTGTGCTGTGCTTGCACTGCTGGGCTGTGCAGTGCTGTGCTGTGCTGTGCTTGCACTGCTGTGCTGTGCTGTGCTGTGCTGTGCTGTGCTGTGCTGTGCTGTGCTGTGCTGTGCTGTGCTGTGCTGTGCAGTGCTGTCCTGTGCTGTGCTGTGCTGTGCTTTGCTGTGGTAAGCTGTGCTTGCAGTGCTGAGCTTCCACTGCTGTGCTCGCACTGCTGTGCTTGCACTGCTGTGCTTGCACTTCTTTGCTTGCACTGCTGTGCTTGCAGTGCTGTGCTCGCACTGCTGTGCTTGCACTGCTGGGCTGTGCAGTGCTGTGCTGTGCTGTGCTGTGCTGTGCTTGCACCGCTGTGCTGTGCAGTGCTGTGCTGTGCTTGCACTGCTGGGCTGTGCAGTGCTGTGCTGTGCTTGCAGTGCTGTGCTTGCACTGCTGTGCTCGCACTGCTGTGCTTGCACTGCTGTGCTCTCACTGCTGTGCTTGCACTGCTGTGCTCGCACTGCTGTGCTTGCAGTGCTGTGCTTGCACTGCTGTGCTCGCACTGCTGTGCTTGCACTGCTGTGCTCGCACTGCTGTGCTCGCACTGCTGTGCTTGCACTGCTGTGCTTGCACTGCTGTGCTCGCACTGCTGTGCTTGCGCTGCTGTGCTTGCACTGCTGTGCTCGCGCTGCTGTGCTCGCACTGCTGTGCTTGCACTGCTGTGCTGTGCTTGCAGTGCTGTGCTGTGCTTGCAGTGCTGTGCTGTGCTTGCAGTGCTGTGCTGTGCTTGCAGTGCTGTGCTTTGCTTGCAGTGCTGTGCTTTGCTTGCAGTGCTGTGCTGTGCTGTGCTGTGCAGTGATGTGCTTGCACTGCTGTGCTGTCCTTGCACTGCTGTGCTGTGCTGTGCTGTGCCTTACAGTTCTTCCAGATTAGAGAGGTTTCCAATGGAGTTGGGGATGGGCTCAGAATACCGGTTGTAGCTCAGGTCCCTGCAATGAACAGTACAGTGTGGTGCAGAGGGATGAAGTTATTGGCTGCAACAGGGGTGGAAGGAGGTTAAAGGGTGAAGCAAACAGGTGAGGGAGGAGGGAAGAAGGGGTTGTAAGTTGAAGCATCATGGTGCATGGGGGAGTGGGGGATGGGTGGAAGGGGGGCATGACGGACTATGATACTGCAGCAGGGAAAGGAGAAAATACGCTGGGAGCAGAGAATGCAGAAGATGGGCCAGTGAGGGACAAGGAGAAGGTGGCTGGACGAGGGAGAGGGGAGAGGGGGATAGGGGGAAATGAAGAATCCCGTAGCTCGCTTGCTTACTCGATCACTCAGTCACTAGACGCCTGCCCCATAAACGTCTCAAGCTTTCATGCAGATCACTCCACAGCAGCATGCATTCCTACCCCGTCGTGGCGCACTCACAGCCTTTGAAGCTGCTTGAGGTTGCCGATTGCCTCTGGAATGGAGCCTGAGAGGCGGAAGTTACCATCGAGGTGCCTGGTGCATGGTGAGGGTGGTCAGAGAAGGGCAGAGGCAGGAAGGCAAGAGAGACGGAGGAGTTGGAGATGGCGGGCTGGGAGGGATGGCATGAGTGAGAGGAGGGCGGGGAAGGTGGAGAGGCGTGAAGGGGACTAGGGAGTTGCAGGGCGCAGCGCAGAGCTATGGCTTCGTGCTATCGGGATGAGAGCATTCAGCCGTGTGAAATGGTGCATGCATGGCACGGGCGATGGTGCATGGCATGGGCGATGGTGAATGGCACGGGCAATGGTGCATGGCATGGGCGATGGTGTGTGGCATGGGCGATGGTGTGTGGCACGGGCGATGGTGTGTGGCACGCACAAGGCAGTCAGGGCCGTCATGTCGAACATGCCTGCAGGCAGCGTTCCCTGCGAAAAAGTGTTCCCCATGTTCCTGAGGTGCATGCATGGACACACGCAACGCAAGGAGCACGTGGGGCGCAGGAAAGGGTTCAATGCACATATGAGCAGATGGCATGGCATGGTGCAAACGGCATGGCATGGTGCAGACGGCATGGCATGGTGCAGACGGCATGGCATGGTGCAGACGGCATGGCATGGTGCAGACGGCATGGCATGGTGCAGACGGCATGGTATGGTGCAGACGGCATGGCATGGTGCAGACGGCATGGCATGGTGCAGACAGCATGGCATGGTGCAGACGGCATGGCATGGTGCAGACGGCATGGCATGGTGCAGACGGCATGAAGCCCGCCAACCAGTGCTCGGCATCTCAAGAATCGGATGGCCTCATTCTTATTTTCTGATGAGCAGTGCTTTGCTTGTCACGCATCACCACTGATGGAACCACAGGAGCCACTAGTGGAGGCGCTGCCGGGGTCCTTTTAAGGCGCCTCACACTGCCATCTTGCTCGACCATGGCAAATTGAGCACCAATTGGCTACCCCAAGTCTCTTGGGAGCCCATCGGCTCATCTAGAGCAGCGCAAGTGACCCAGCTCGTCCCCATCACTCTTTCCTTGCCACTCTGCTACTTGCTCAGACCCTCATGGGGCAGTGACCTCTGCGGAAGTCAGTGGCACGGTCTGCTTGGAAGCTGCATGGTTGTAGCTCAAGTAGAGCCGGCTTTTGTCCGCAATGGCGTGCAGCACTGCTGTGCACTGCGCCTCAAATGGCATTTTATCCTCACATGCTCCTTCACATGCCCGTTCACCATGCATGCACCATGCATGCACCATGCATGCACCATGCATGCACCATGCCTCCTCTCCTCCAGTAATCTCTCAACTTACAGGTAGACATGGGCAAAAAAAATCGCATCGCATCGCATTTAATCGCGTTTTTGCGATGGCGATGTTTTTTTTTTTTTTTTAATCATCGCGTGATGCGATGAATTAATATCGCGCGATTTAATTTAAATCGCATTTTAATCGCGCTAAAAAAACGCGATTTAAATGCGATATGCGATTTTTAAAAAATCGCGCGCGATATTGCACTGAAACCCACTCTGAAACCCACTACGAAACCACACTGGTTATTTGCACTCTAGCTTACGACTGCCCGTGAGTCAATTTCCCCACAGCCATGGTTTTTTTCTGTTTTTTTGGGGTGTTTTTTAATTCTGTTTTAAAACGCGATGCGATTTAAAATCGCATTTTGCGATTTAATTAAATATCGCATGCGATTTATTAATACATCGCAGGTAAAATGCGATGTGCGATTTTTTTTTTTTTGAAAAATAAATCGCGCGATGCGATTTAAAATCGCATCGCTTTTTTAAACATCGCACCTGCATGCGATGCGATTTAAATCGCAATCGCGTTTTGATCATGTCTACTTACAGGAATTCAAGGTTAGTCAGGTTGCCAAGGAATGCAGGCAGAGTTGCATAGAGTCTGTTGTGGGCCACATGTCTGGCAGGGGGGGGGGGAGAGGGGGGGGTGGGGGGGAAGCAGAGGGGACAGAGAGACAAGGGGCAGAAGATGAAGGTTGGACTGTCAAGATAGCGAGGAATGCGTGGGGCAGTGATGGCATGGATGTAGACAGCAGAGAGCAGGTGAGGGGAGAGAGCAGGTGAGGGGAGAGAACAGGTGAGGGCACTCACAGGTACTTGAGCGCGGTCATGTGGGCCAGAGAGTCAGGGAGGGGTCCAGAGAGTCGGTTGAAGTGGAAGGCTCTGCAGGTGGGCAGATGGCACGTGGGCACATGATTGAAGGGGCAGAGGCGGGACGAGAGAGAAGGCAGGTGGGGCTGCAAGGAGCATGGAGGGAGGGAGGGAGGGAGGGCCTGGCACTGACAGGAACACGCACCGCAAGGAATGCTCGGCTTAAGACTGGAGACACTATGGGGGCATCGTGCAGGCAGTTGAAGACAGGACACCATCCTTTGGGTGGGGTCTGCTTCTGCTTCAAGCCAGGCTGTCAGCAGCACAAATGACACTCACCCTCCCCCTCCCTCTCCTACCTTGCTCATTCGTTTGCACACTCAAGTCACCCAGTCACTTCGTCCCTGCATGAATGCCTGTGATGTTCATCAATCCGCACTCACAGGTGCGTCAGGTGCTGCAGATTACTCAGCGCAGAGGGGAGGGAGCCGTTGAACCAGTTCCTGAAGGCGCTACTGTTGTGCGGTTAAGGGGAAGGGGGGAGGACAGGGGAGAAGGGGGAGAGCAGAGATAGGGGAGTAGGGAGAGATGGTGAATCAAGGGGGAAGGGCGGGAGAGGAGGTGCAGGGAGGGATGGGAGGAGCTGCTGGAGAGACGTGGAGGAGGGTGAATGGACGTATGGGTGGCATATCAAGATGACGGGAGGGCGGATGCAAGGCAGATGGTGGTGATGGCGGAGACAGGTGCACGGGCGGCTGAGGGGCGATGATAGAATGCAAGAGAAGCGAAGCAAGAGGCGCAGGAGGGACGTGAGAGGTGCAAGCGGGACGGGGGCTGTGCAGGAGTGAACTGACAAGTGCACGAGAGAAGAGAGGTTGCTGAAGGAAGGCGGGAGGGGGCCACCGAGATCATTCGAGTCCAAAACGCTGCAAACAGCAGAAACGAGTGTGGGTCAGAGGCAGCAGAAAGAGGCACGTATGTATGTCTGTGCATGTGCGCGCGTGCGTGTATGATGGATGGATGGATGGATGGATGGATGGATGGATGGATGGATGGATGGATGGAGACAGTAAACACTGACAGGGTCTCAAGGCGAGTTGCACCTCCCACTGAGTCCGGCATGCTCCCTGAGAAGTGATTGCGTGTGAAATTACTGCACACATGCACACATGCGCACATGCACACAGGGCACAACACGACCAGGGCATTGTGAGGGCGCCATGGAGGCAGCAGGCAGCTGGGCTTTGATGCGCAGCACAGGGGGGCAGCGTGTAGGGAAGCATGCGACTGGTGTGAGCAGAAGTCTCACAGGTGCTTGAGATTGGGCAGGGAGAAGAGCGCAGCGGGCAGAGTGCCATTCAGACAACTGTCAGTGATGGACCTGCAAAACGGAAGTAGAGAGTTTTCCGGGCAGCAGAGGAGGTTTGTGTGAGGTAGAGTCTAGAGAGGGCTTGAGTTGAGAGGTGCAGTGAGCTGAAGCAGGGAGAGTAACGGTGCCCCCATGAGCAAGTCTGTGAGTGGCGGTTGGTGCACTCGGCGTGACGTGAGTGATGGGCGCGCTGCGCAGGAAAGGAATTAGGAGTGCGAGAGAGAGAGCATCGGGGCACCAAGGAAAGGGGGGGTGGCATACTGGTAGGGGAACGAACTAACTCCCTGCTATGTCCGACACGGCACTTGGGCAGCAGCAGCAACAACACGCTCCCATGAAGCCGTGACTTCGAACCACACTATGTGCTGCAGTAATGCACTGCCACGTGCTGGTGGGCGCCACGTGCTGGTGCTGCAAAACCCGTCACGGGCACCCATGCCACACAACCAGCCCCACTCACAGCCATGCGAGGTGCCCCAAGGCCGTGATGGCCTCTGGCAGCAGGTTGTTGCAATAGGGGTTGTAGTTGTCCTCAAGGGCACTTGTGTTGCTGAGGGCAAGAACGGAGGGGAAGAACGGAGGAAAAGAACGGAGGGGAAGAACGGAGGGGCAAGCAATCACAAGATGGGTAGGGCGACGGAGAAAACGAAAAGAGTAAGGCCGATCTATTATTGGGGCTGGTCCATGACTACTCAGCGTGGAAAACGGCGCCGTGACTCCATGCTCCGGGCCTCAGGCAAACATTACGCTGTTGCTGCCATCTGTTCACCATCCTCAAAGCCGCTGCACAATGCCATGCCATGAGCAAGGGCCGAGCCATGGTAGTCTCGCTCTCCATTCAAGCCAAGCCGAGCCGAGCCGAGCCGAGCGCCTGCCCGACTCGTGGCTTGGGTAATCGAGACGAGCCAGGGGGGCGGCTTGTCTCGAGCCGAGTCGGCTCGTCACAACCCTGCGAGCTCCCGAGCCTTCGTTGGCTCGCTCGCCAGGGTTAGCCCGCCGGATCCGCGCCTGTCGTCGACGGCCTGTAACGGGGCTCACGTGACACGTCAGCCTGTGGACCGGACAAGCTGGGACCGGCGCGTCGTTTAGACACCATCGAGTCGCCTTGGCTCGACTCGGCTCAAGACGAGCCGACCCTCCGGAACGGGTCGGCGAGCAGAGCCGCCAGCTCGGCCATCTGCTCATGCCCGCTGGCATGCTATGATGTGCCATGCTTAGAGTGCAACGACATGCTTACAGTGCAACGACATGCTTAGAGTGCAACGACATGCTTAGAGTGCAACGACATGCTTAGAGTGCAACGACATGCTTAGAGTGCAACGACATGCTTAGAGTGCAACGACATGCTTAGAGTGCAACGACATGCTTAGAGTGCAACGACATGCTTAGAGTGCAACGACATGCTTAGAGTGCAACGACATGCTTAGAGTGCAACGACATGCTTAGAGTGCAACGACATGCTTAGAGTGCAACGACATGCTTAGAGTGCAACGACATGCTTAGAGTGCAACGACATGCTTAGAGTGCAACGACATGCTTAGAGTGCAACGACATGCTTAGAGTGCAACGACATGCTTAGAGTGCAACGACATGCTTAGAGTGCAACGACATGCTTAGAGTGCAACGACATGCTTAGACTGCAACGACATGCTTAGACTGCAACGACATGCTTAGAGTGCAACGACATGCTTAGAGTGCAACGACATGCTTAGACTGCAACGACATGCTTAGAGTGCAATGACATGCTTAGAGTGCAACGACATGCTTAGAGTGCAACGACATGTTTACAGTGCAAGGCAACGACATGCTTAGAGTGCAACGACATGCTTAGAGTGCAACGACATGCTTAGAGTGCAATGACATGCTTAGAGTGCAATGACATGCTTAGAGTGCAACGACATGCTTACAGTGCAACGACATGCTTACAGTGCAACGACATGCTTACAGTGCAATGAACGACATGCTTACAGTGCAACAAACGACATGCTTACAGTGCAACAAACGACATGCTTACAGTGCTACAAACGACATGCTTACAGTGCAACAAACGAGATGCTTACAGTGCAACGACATGCTTACAGTGCAACGACATGCTTACAGTGCAACGACATGGCCGTCTGCATCACAGCGCACAGCAGCCATGGCGTCACAGTCCGTGCCCCTGCTCCATGTGGCCGTGCCATCGAACCTCGTCCACGCGGATGCCAGCTCCTCCAACACACCCACTGCCATGCCATGCACCCATGTCATGCACCCATGCCATGCAGCAATGCCATTTCACCATGTCAGGATGGCAACCGCGTATCGTGCCATTTCATGCCACCACATGGCGTGCAATGAAATCACAGCACCACACGGGGGGGCAGAAAGGAGAGTGTGAGGGGAGCAGCGAGGCAGAGTGTGAGGGGAAAAGAGAGGGATTGGGGAGAAAAGGCCAAGGGGACCTGCCGCCGTGACGAAGCTAGCGCGGCGGCGGCGCTAGGAAGCGCGGGCCCGTGTGCAAGCTCGATAATAGGGCCTTCGACTCTGCGCTTACTGTCAGGGTCCAGCACGGGTGCAGCCCGCGCGAGAGGCACGATGCAGCAGCGCGCCACCAGCAGCGCCACCACCACCGCCCTCGCGACCATGGCGGCCCGCCCCATCGCTCGAGTGCGTTGCCCGCGAGCGACGCGTGCTCTCCCCGTTCTCTTTCGGCGCCTCGTGGAGTGCTCCGCGCGTGCGGCGTGCAGCGCGGCGATCGGGAGCTGAGTGATTTGCTTCCCCCGCTGGCGATGGTACTTGAGATATTATCGGGTGGTATCACGTTGCTCCAGATACTAGCGGGTGCAATGCGGAACTCAAAGTGACTCTCGTCGTCGTCGTCGTCGTCGTCGTCTTTACTGAGATGCTCACCCACCTCTCTGGCACTAAGTAGTCGTGGTAACACAGCGGGAGCTGTGTGACGGGATGCGCGAAGGGATGGAGTGGATGGGGGATGCAGGCAGGTGGGGGAGGTGGCATTTGCGCAGCCTTGCTGGCCATTGTTGCGTGTGCGCGCAGCAGCACGTGCGCGCGCCATAACGCAACGCATTACAGTACCTACAATAGAACTACCTTCCCCGGACTTGTGGAGTGCTGCCAGCAAATACGTAGTGCTCGCTTGACTCTTGGATGCTCTGAACGACTCCCTCCCAAAATTAGACTCGGCTTGACCTGATGGTTGGTGGTGGGGCATTGTTACAAGGCGAAAGCGAACTCACCCAAAAGTTCGCCAGCTCAGCGAACTGTAGATTTCGAGGTTGGATTTGTCCAACCAAAATCATGCGCGTCGAACTGAACAATTCCTCGACCCCAAAATTGTACAGCTGCCTGTGAGTCACAGCACTACTCTAGAGCAGGGCTCTCGGTTCAAGGGTAAACATCCGGAATGTCAGGTACATTCCGGGTCTTTCCCCCTGAGATCCTGATTTTGAGGGTTTCAGACTCACAAACCTCCTGACTGATTCCGGGCGTTTCCAAGGAACTCCTTGAGCAATCTAGATTGCGCGAAAATTTATCCTGGCCATCCGACTGGCATGGAAACTTACCCGTGCTGGAATTGCAACCATACCCCCCCCCCCCCCTTCCTACGCAACCCTGACCAATTTTCCACGCAATCTGATGCGACCCGTGGAACTTTCACAACTACAGAAGTGCAGGGCTGTCAGACTTAACACCTTAGCCAGGTTGCGCACTGTCCCTATAAGTTGTACGCATTTCTTCCGCGATTCAGGGAAAGTGTCGAACTTGGTGTGGTGGTGAGGGACAGCAGCAGCAGCAAGTGTGTGTTTTGTATTCTTCTCCATCGTTTCTTCCATCGATGTCCTTCCTGCTTGTACTCGAAGTGCCCACAGGTTCCGCTGATGGGTAGGGAGTCCCAAAAAACTCTCAGACTTTCAGATTGAAATGTCAAAGTAATCCTGAAATATAGAGAGATTTCCCTGGGAATGCTGATTTTTCAGGGTCTTTAGTGACGCGAATCCTGAGACCGCTGGGTCTTCAAAAACGAAAAATTAGCCCTGCTCTAGAGCAGATGCCGAGAGCCAGCAAAGCGTAGAAAGCGCCAGCGCAACCTAGAGATTAACTACTGCAGCTACTACAAGTGCCAACGAAGACTACAATCGACATCTACAAGGTGACGAAGACGCCAACACTACTTGGAAAATGAAAACTACGTGTATAGTTAATTTCTATGCTTGTTTAGCTATTTCCTAGGAGAGACAACAAGGCAAGGCTACTTGTAAATAATCATGAGCTTGCTTGCTTGTCTCCAGCTAGGATAGAAATGCCAAGCCGCCACGGGCGACCTTATCTAGGCGCCTTTAGAAGTACCAAGATGCCAAGAAAGCTTTCCTAGTATAAGTGTGCTCTCTTCTTTGTTTGAAGCTATCATATGATCTAGCAATTTTGCTAGCTCTCTTTCTTCAAAGATCCCTCAACCTCTACTCCTACTAACAGCCCCAGAGCTGTTATATTTGGTCTCAGAGCCACGTTCCTGCATTGATTTTTTTTCTAGAACGTCATGACGTCAGAGCAACCCCCTTCTCCTGACGATTGGGCAGCTTTTCTAGAGAATTACCGCGCCCAAATCGTTTCTGAAGTTCGTGAGAGCTTGCGAGCTGAGTTGCAAGCTAGTATGGCTGCAGCCGGTGCGGTAGCAGCGAATCCTCCTCCTGCTACACCTTCTGGAGATAGTCAGCGCGCTAGACCGGCGATTCCCGATTTCTTCATCCCAGGCAAAAGTCAAACCGTTGTTAGTCGTTGGGTCTTTTTAGTGGAGCAGTACTTGACGCTGAGCCAAGTTGCACCTTCCGAGTGGAGCGTCTTTGCTGGCACGTTACTCCGTGGCTCCGCAGTTGCTTGGTGGCAAGCTGCACACATCTCCATCATATCGTGGCAGCACTTCACGCAGGCGTTCACGATCGCCTTCCAACCGGTGAATCCGAGCATCAAGGCGTGTGATCGACTTGCGGCTCTCAAGCAGCTGAAATCCGTTCAAGAGTACACCGCCAACTTCCGCAACATCGCCCAAGAAATCTCCGACCTCTCCAACGCTGAACGCATGGACCGCTTCAAGCGTGGGTTGAAGCAGAACGTGCGTATGGAGGTTGAGCTGAGGGACTGCACGACACTTGAGGAAATTATCAGAGTCGCTGAACGATATGACTCAATTCAATTTGCTTACAAAGCAAGGTTTCCTCGCGCCACGTTGCTCCCTTTTGCTCCCTCCTATCAGCCCTTTGCTTCAACAGGCTACGCTCAGCAAGAACCTGCTCCGATGGACCTGGATGTGATGGAGAAGAAGCGGAATCAGAACCCCTCCGTCGTCTGCTTCAAGTGCGGCAAGAAAGATCACATCTGGCGATTCTGCCACAGTCCTCCAAATTCAAAACCACTTCTTCCTACCCCTGGAAAAGGTGGTTACCAACATAAAACCTCAGACAGTCTTACTTGCCAACGGGTCATCCCTCTCGTGTGGCCCTGTCCCTTATCCCGTTAACTGCACCATCGGATCTTACAAGGACAAGCTCTACTTTCAGCAAGCCCCCCTGAAAGGTCACGATGTCATTCTTGGGGGAAACTGGCTTTCTGCCAAGAACCCGTCCATTGATTGGACCCATGACCATGTCACCATCAAGCATAACGGCACAGACATCATCCTACCTCAATTCCCTTCTTCCCCTTCCTTACCTACCTGCAATTTTCTTTCTGCAAGACGGATAAAGAAATCCCTTAAAGACCCCACTGCACAATTCTTCCTCTGCTATCTTCACCAAATTTCTCAAGCCTCATCTATCCCTCCATCTCCTCCTGTGTCTAATGACCCCCCTGAAATTCAGAAACTTTTTTCTGAATTTAAGGATGTCTTTCCCTCAGACCTTCCTCCAGGACTACCACCCAAACGAGCCGTTGACCAAAGAATCTGCCTACAACCTGGATCTGAGCCTACTGTTCGTGCTACATATCGGATGAGCACGGCGGGGTTGCAAGAAGTCCAGAAGCAACTTGAGGAGCTCCTGGACAAAGGCTTCATCCGCGTAAGCTCATCGCCCTATGCAGCACCAATCCTCTTTGTCAAAAAGAAGGATGGTAGCATGCGCATGTGCATCGACTACCGTGCACTCAACAAAATCACCATCAAGAATCGCTACCCCCTTCCTCGCGTTGAGGAGCTTTTCGACCAGTTGGGTGAGGCCAAAATCTTTTCTAAGCTTGATCTTCACAGCGGCTATCACCAAGTACGTGTCGTTGATGAAGATATTGAGAAAACTGCCTTTCGAACGCGGTATGGGCACTTTGAATTCCTTGTCCTTCCCTTTGGACTGACAAATGCCCCTGCCACTTTCATGTGTATGATGAATGATATCTTCCGTGATTTCTTAGACCGATTTGTCATTGTCTTCATTGATGACATTTTGATCTATAGCAAATCATTGGATGAGCATGTTCATCATATCAGACAGGTGCTGATTCGTCTACGCCAGCACCGTCAAACAAACCAAGTGTGAGTTTGCTCGGTCCTCGATTCCTTTCTTGGGCCATATTATCTCACACAATCAGTTGTCCATGGACCCTTCTAAGGTAAAAGCAGTCCAAGATTGGAAGCCTCAAACTTCCATCAAAGAACTGCAAGCCTTTCTTGGCCTCGCTAACTATTATCGAAAGTTCATTCAACACTTTGCTGCAATCACTTCCCCCCTTTCTAACCTACTGCGTAAGACAGAAGGATTCCACTGGGGACCAGACGAAGACAAAGCCTTTGAAGCCATCAAATAAGCCTTAACCTCTTCTCCTACTCTAGCCCTTCCCAACCCTTCCCTTCCCTACACCATATGGACAGATGCCTCCAGTGTTGCAATGGGTGCAATCCTTTGTCAAGATCAGGGACATGGCCTTCAACCCCTTGCTTTCGACTCTCGAAAGCTCAAACCTGCTGGGTGCAACTATGCCACTCATGACCGTGAGATGTTGGCCATTGTCCATGCCATAAAAAAGTGGCATTGCTATGTCCATATGCAACCCGTCACTGTCCTTACTGACCATTGCACCCTTCAACACTTCAAGACCCAACCTCACCTTACCCCCAGACAGGCTCGTTGGATGGAATACTTGGAGAAGTATGTGCCTGAGCTAAAGATTGAGTACCGTGCTGGTCGCCTCAATCCTGCTGACTCATTGACTCGACCTCCACCCTCTCAGCTTTCAACCATTAGCACAGTGACTTGGGATGAGAACTTCATTAGCAAGTTCACCAAGGGATACCGGCAGGACTCATTTTACCTCTCCTCTGCCCCTACCCTTAAGTTTGTCTACTATGAATCCCCTTTCTGGTACAACACAGACTCTCATGCCATCTGTGTCCCAGCAAACCGAAAGCTGCATCACCTCTTGCTTCGCGAGCATCATGATCAGAACGCACACTTTGGAGTTGGCAAGACGCTTGCGGCCATCTCTGCTAATTTCTTCTGGCCCAGGCTCTCTCGTGACGTTCGCTCCTACGTGCGCTCCTGCCATATCTGTCAGTGTAACAAGGCTCGCAACACAGCTCCTTATGGTCTCTTACATCCCCTGGACATTCCTGAGCTCCCTTGGAGTCATGTCACTCTTGACTTCATCACTGATCTCCCCCCTACTGCCTCTCATCATAATGCCATTCTCACTGTCGTTGACAAGCTCTCTAAAATGGCGCATTTCATTCCCACATCCACCACAGCTACTGCACAGCATACTGCTGAGCTTTTCTTCAAAGAGGTGGTACGTCTTCATGGCATCCCCTCTGTTCTAATCTCTGATCGTGATTCCCGTTTCTTAACCGATTCTGGCAAACCCTCTTCAACAGGCTCGGGACCAAGATTCGCCTCTCAACTACGTATCACCCTCAGTCAGATGGGCAGACTGAAAGGATGAATCCAATGCTTGAAGATGGTCTGCGAGCTTGCGTCAACGCGTGCCACAACGACTGGAATCTCCACCTGCCTAACATCGAGTTCTCCTACAACAACACAGTGAACCTCGCCACTGGACAGACCCCCTTCTACCTTGCTACTGGACAGAACCCTCGCACTCCCTCTTCACTCGTAC